TTTCGGCCTTTCAGTATCTGTCTATATTTCTGAGATGAGGTATTCTGTACAGTATTTACATTAGTCGGACTATTGCCCTCATCTTTGTCGCCATATTTGATACAACGTTTCGGCCTTTCAGTATCTGTCTATATTTCTGAGATGAGGTATTCTGTACAGTATTTACATTAGTCGGACTATTGCCCTCATATTTGTCGCCATATTTGATACAACGTTTCGGCCTTTCAGTATTTGTCTATATTTCTGAGATGAGGTATTCTGTACAGTATTTACATTAGTCGGACTATTGTCCTCATCTTTGTCGCCATATTTGATACAACGTTTCGGCCTTTCAGTATCTGTCTATATTTCTGAGATGAGGTATTCTGTACAGTATTTACATTAGTCGGACTATTGCCCTCATCTTTGTCGCCATATTTGATACAACGTTTCGGCCTTTCAGTATCTGTCTATATTTCTGAGATGAGGTATTCTGTACAGTATTTACATTAGTCGGACTATTGCCCTCATCTTTGTCGCCATATTTGATACAACGTTTCGGCCTTTCAGTATCTGTCTATATTTCTGAGATGAGGTATTCTGTACAGTATTTACATTAGTCGGACTATTGCCCTCATCTTTGTCGCCATATTTGATACAACGATTCGGCCTTTCAGTATCTGTCTATATTTCTGAGATGAGGTATTCTGTACAGTATTTACATTAGTCGGACTATTGCCCTCATCTTTGTCGCCATATTTGATACAACGTTTCGGCCTTTCAGTATCTGTCTATATTTCTGAGATGAGGTATTCTGTACAGTATTTACATTAGTCGGACTATTGCCCTCATCTTTGTCGCCATATTTGATACAACGTTTCGGCCTTTCAGTATCTGTCTATATCTCTGAGATGAGGTATTCTGTACAGTATTTACATTAGTCGGACTATTGCCCTCATCTTTGTCGCCATATTTGATACAACGTTTCGGCCTTTCAGTATCTGTCTATATTTCTGAGATGAGGTATTCTGTACAGTATTTACATTAGTCGGATTATTGTCCTCATCTTTGTCGCCATATTTGATCCAACGTTTCGGCCTTTCAGTGTCTGTCTATATTTCTGAGATGAGCTATTCTGTACAGTATTTACATTAGTCGGACTATTGTCCTCATCTTTGTCGCCATATTTGATACAACGTTTCGGCCTTTCAGTATCTGTCTATATTTCTGAGATGAGGTATTCTGTACAGTATTTACATTAGTCGGACTATTGTCCTCATCTTTGTCGCCATATTTGATACAACGTTTCGGCCTTTCAGTATCTGTCTATATTTCTGAGATGAGGTATTCTGTACAGTATTTACATTAGTCGGACTATTGCCCTCATCTTTGTCGCCATATTTGGTACAACGTTTCGGCCTTTCAGTATCTGTCTATATTTCTGAGATGAGGTATTCTGTACAGTATTTACATTAGTCGGACTATTGTCCTCATCTTTGTCGCCATATTTGATACAACGTTTAGGCCTTTCAGTATCTGTCTATATTTCTGAGATGAGGTATTCTGTACAGTATTTACATTAGTCGGACTATTGCCCTCATCTTTGTCGCCATATTTGATACAACGTTTCGGCCTTTCAGTATCTGTCTATATTTCTGAGATGAGGTATTCTGTACAGTATTTACATTAGTCGGACTATTGCCCTCATCTTTGTCGCCATATTTGATACAACGTTTCGGCCGTTGTACGTTCTGGCCTTCTTCAGGTGGGTGGAATTTCGAACTGAACCCTTTATTTCGATCACTGGGGTAGACTGTTCTAGTTCCACGTGCCATGTTTGATGGATGTCAGTTAACAGTTATCTCCTGCTAATTTTCCCTCTGAAAGTTCTCCACTGCTTTAACCAGGTATTGAACTCACCTTCTTTGGGTCTGTCACTGGATCTAACCAACGCCTTTATCCACTGTGCCATGTGTCCTAAGGTGAGTTCAATACCTGGTTAAGGCAGTGGAGAATTTTCAGAGGGAAAATTAGCAGGAGAACCTCTTAACTGCTGGTTCCCAGGTTCTCCATGACTCGGGGTGGTAGCACCGGTTAGGGTCCCAGCTATGGGCAAATAGTTGAACCCACAACCTGACTCAAAACACTACGAAAGTGTTAAAATAGATATTAATATCAGAAATACTTTTTTTAAAAAATTAGTATCAGCAATAAATATTTGAAAAAGAAAATATTACTAGAAATAAAAATCTTGCCAGCTCTAAATAACCCATTGAGGTTAATATGCCACAAAACGAAACAAACCAAACAAAAATATTACCAGACAAATTTGACAAAACAAAATATTAGCAGCAATAATAATTTTCTCGGCATTAAATGACCCATTGAGTTTGATATGCCGTAAAACAAACTAAACCCTGCACTAACTACCTAAGAGACTCAGACAGTCCTGTGACCCTGGCTATAGACTTGACTGACGTTGAAGGATCTTTATCAATTATGTCCTGGTTTTCACCAACAAATTCGGGAATTGTTTTCTCTTTCCAAATCATTTGCACCGTCCTCAGATTGTTATTCGTATTGGAGTTGCCGGCAGGAATGCCAGACAGTACATGCAGTTTCCAAATTTCTGGTGGAATGAATTACGTCATCGTGCTTTTTTATTTGTTTATTTTATTTTATTTTATTTTTTCACAGACGGTGCCCAACTGACCCGACTATACTGTGCAGTCGATAAAATCAAAAGCAAACAACACGCATGCGCGAAATTAAAAATATAAAATGGTGATAAGTTACTCATTGTTCCCTGTATATAGACTATGTGTGTTGCAGGAGACATACTCTCGGAGTTTGGTCTTGACCTCAGTGTCCAATTTTACATTTACATTTTTATCCATACCATACCTATATTTCATCACACACACACACACACACACACACACACACACACACACACATACATATATATGTATATATATATATATATATAAAATGAAACAGTGTAACTAAAGTTGACTTCTATCGTGAAAATCATTTCAAAGAAGCAATGAAATAAATATCGCCTCCAAATAACGGAAGACATTTTAAAGAAAGCCATTTGTAAAAGTGTAGAATTTATTGTTCGTAAAGAGTGTAACACAAAACTCGTCTTTCGGCGAGCCATAAATCACAAACAGCTCAAATTTCAGTCCGAACAATTACGAAGACTACGCCGGCAAATTAAACTCAGAATGTTATCACATTCCGGATTTAGACCTGCAGACTCAATTATAAAACCGACGAATGTTTATTCGTATACACAAGTGCAAGTGCAACTAATTATTGCTGAACTATATACCTTACCAATGTTTTCTTATAATCACCAGTATAAATCCTACTAATGTTTACCTATAGACAAAAGTACAACAAAACCAACAGTGATTAAAACAAAAACAGTGGTAAAGGTATCATCAGTTGTTTCCTTATAAGGAAACATTTGGCTTTCATTAACCAAACAGTTAGTACTACTTTCGGTTGAAGTTTATAAAATATTTATCTTAAAACAATTTTTAAGGAAAATATATTTTAATGTCCAGTAACTGTTATCACTCTTTCCAATATTGATGGAGGTTTCTTTCCTAACCTTTTACTTGAAGTAATGTGGAATGTCAACGTCTTGATTCTGTCATTATTTTCTCTTCTCAAGCCCAGTAGCTGTTATCACTCTTTCCAGTATTGATAGAGGTTTCCTTCCTAACCTTTTGTTTGAAGTAATGTGGAATGTCAACATCTTATGTCATTATTTTTCTTCGAGTTACATGTGATATCTCTTAGTTATTGCTGCCCTTGGTAGACCTCAAGTGGGGTGCCTTCTGTGATTTGTTACAGTTCATTGTAATACTATATCGTCAATCCACAAAATTCAAAGAAAAATGATCTTTGCCAAAACCTTCAGACTTCAGTTTCAACGTTTGCTACTTGAGCGCAATCTTTAGGCCAATCTTCGAGTTTTATGCATTTCCTCTGTTTTTGCTGTTGAAATACTTCAAATGATATAGTTTCTATTATTTGGTACCGCTTTTTGTTTGTGATTGTGTAGCGCCAGAGCACAATGTTGGAGGAAGTGTGGTCTTCACCAAGACCTAGATGTTTTACTCACTCAAAGCATTTTTTCACTATTGATCTCAGAAATCGATTGTATAGAGCTGACAGGTTCGATATTTCTAAACGGGTTTGGCGCTATACATAATATCGATATGAAAGCCTCGTTCGGACGAGGCGATTTAAGAACATGACACGGGTTTTGAGCTTGATGTTTCAGGTTTCGGAGCAATTTACAGGTTTGATCAAAATTGCCTTTTTTGCTACCTATTCCAGATTCAATTTCATTTTCTCCTATACTAGATTTGTTACAAATGCTGATTTCAATCGGCTTCGCTGTATTTCTAGACTCATCGAAATTTATATTTAAAATTTAAATTTATAGTTAAGCATCCTTGCATCTTCAGCATTTTTCTTTATGTTGAATTATAATTGGTATTTGTTCATATTTTCATATCCTCTCCGTACAGATACCATCAATAAATACAAAATATTTAACTGGAAGTTCTTTCAATGTACGAATCGCTTCACATTTTTTTCTACCTTGTCATTCAAGAGTCCAATCGATCAATGGTTATCTATAGACAGACATATCTTCCCTTCAGAACGTTGGCGATCATGGCTCTCCACCATTTCTAGTTCATTTTACCATTTGGAAAATGTTGTCTTTTTGATATCTCTCATAAACCCTGTTTTGCCATCTATTTACACAGCTCGTTTCGTAAGTTATACGCTGTTTTCCATGGTTCCTCTTGCCTTTAATATGTCCCGTGAGTGTCAAATTTTACAAGCCCTCTTTCCTCACTGCAACCTTTCAACTGTCTCTTTCTGATATTAAGTATAATGTCTTTTATGTTTCCATTTTCCCTAACTCCGTCGTTGCTCACATGTTCAATCCATGGTAGTCCCAGTATCCCTCTACAGAACCTATATATATATACAGATAGATAGATAGATAGATAGATAGATAGATAGATAGATTTAATAATGAAACTGACCAGTAATTTACTATGTACTCAACTGGAGATGATGAGACAAAATAGAAAACCTTATAAACGACACGTTCATAGGGAATCTTCAGGTGTGAATGAAAGGTAAAACTCCTTTCAGACCTTACAGCCAAGAGGTACAGTGCACGGACTCCCTATACTCTAACCCAGGCCTGCTCCCTGGTGATGTGGGCTCAGTGATAATTTTGACGAAACAGGGTGTCATCTCGCGTGATTAACTAATATTGAGAGATGGTTGTCCTTTGGTTCAAGTGTTACTTTCATAATTATTTCTATTATTTTCCCAACTTGTCTATGGAAACGGCATGGTCACACGCTTTCTCGAAATCCTCTAAGTATTCCACTTGATTCGTTTTGGACGACCATAACCAAACACCCATTTCCTAAAAGTATTTTTTAATCATTCTTGCCTTTGTGCTTCACTTTCTTTTCCTATCGACTTTCCCGCCTCATTCTTTTCTTCTCACTTATTAGAACTATATTTTGAACGACCGATCGACTCGCTTAGTCGCTTTCCTTTTATAACCTGCAAATTAGAACTATTCTTTGTCTCCTCTTTGATAGCGACCGCCATTATTTTGTGAATACTTTTTTTGAATCGAAATCGCAAGAAAGACACGGTGATCAGTAATATTTATGAGGTTATCAATAGCCTCAGACATGTCGGGTTTGTTACGGGCTATTTAAAGACCTGACAAAAGGCGGCAACAATCGTTATGTCCCGACTGAAAGAGATCAGAATGAGATCGTTTGTCGATCTGACAAAACGCCGGCATCATTTGCCTTCTACAGTTTAAATTGGATGCGCTGGAGGCTCGGCTACGGACGGCTTTGTGATTTGATATACGCTTCCCTACTTCAGCTGCTTGTTTTTTGGGTTTTTTTTTTTTTGCGGGGGGTTGTATCAGCAGCGATAATCATATTTCTTTATCTAAAGTTTAAATAAAAAGAAACTCTCTAATTTCTTGAGATGCTTATAATGGTATATATATATATATATGTGTGTGTGTGTGTGTGTGTGTGTGTGTGTGTGTGTGTGTGTGTGTGTGTGTGTGTGTGTGTGTGATGAGATGAAGATATGTATTTTTATATATCAGGAACAATATTGGGGAGAGGTATATGACAATTTGGAAAAAGTTTTCTTATGACGCGTTTCGTCCTTTCATACTAAGTTTCTTGTATTACGAGCACTCAAAATTTGCAGCCCTCACTGTTTGCATGAAGAGAAATACATTGAGAAAACTTTCAAGATTCTTCAGTATATTTTATTCAATGCGAAAGAAAATGTTTATAACATATTCGAAATCTAGAAAAACTGCCCTTCCTGACAAACCTGATGAAACTAAAAAATATATTGTCCTACCAACTCACATTTACAAATGGATAGTTGCTACATCTACAACAATAAAATACATAGTCAATACTAGACAAAACAATAAGCTTGCAGGAGGAATTTTCTCTATCGCTTGTATTAATTGTTGCAAAAATGTATGGGAGAAACTTCAAGAAATCTAAATAAAAGATTATTTGAACACAAAAAGGCCATTTTACAATACAATACATCAAATGTGTTGGTTGCTCACCGTAACGAGTCAAATCACAATTTTGGCATAAAATTCTAATCTTCTCAAAGGACAAAAAAATTCACTAAGAAGAAAATGTCTAGAGACTGACCTGATCGCAAAATTCTGGCTCTTACAACATTTCAATATTCCTGATAGAAATTTTATTATCACAGTGTGGGATATGGTTATACCAGAACATTACCTATTCTATTGTAATAGACTCTCCCACACATAATAAGTAGTAGTAGTAGTAGTATCGGTCGCCAGTTGAACTCAGTGGAGTGAGTCAGTCGATGTCGGACATTGAAGTATCAACCATCACAACTAGATTGCTGCGTCATTAACTCTTATTTCAAGTTCCTAACGTTTTGTACGTCAGACCCTTTTAGGACCGACTTAGCGAAATACAAGCTTCACTGTGAAAACTACTCTACAACAGATACCTACTGACAAAAAGAAAAACAATCTAAAGAAAATCATCTAGATTTTTTTTTTAATGTAAAATACGCAGGATGTCTCGTTCGTGCGCATGTGTAGTGGTACTAACATATTAAACTTAGTCCCGGATGAAGTCCTAATGGACGAAACGCCTCACAAGAAAACTTGGATCCACTTTATAATGCATACTTCGGTAAAATGAAGTACCTCTCTCTGATTGGCATTTGTTTACAAACGTAAAAACTATACGCTAGAATTAGCAGTTTCTCTCTGCCGATTATTGATGGCTTAGAGTAGAAACTCCAACTGACACCATATCGGTAAAGTTTCAACCCTGGCTTTCGGACGTCTAGTCGCAATGAGGATCTGTGATACAGCGAAGCAGTACTCTCTAGAAATGGGTAAATAGCAGGAGAGACTTGGATGGCAACTGGTCTAGAAGGACAACTCTGAATTCAAAATCTGCAGAGGGTCGTTTGGGGACCTTGTGGCACTTAGTGCACCAGGTCTCTGTATTCGGCCCTTCAAAAAGTCTGGTCCTACACGAATTATATGTGATGGTGTCTAGGCTGTCGGCAGCAACTGAGCTGCTTGACCCTCATACATCGAATACGACTGGAGAATCCAATATATATATATATATATATATATATATATATATAATGAAAATGTTTCTTTCACTAAAATCATGTTTACTTCGGAGTTTTAAGGATATATAGGTATAAACAGTCGTTGGAACGGAGTTCAACTGCTCGGCACCTTTACGTACCATGTGTAGTGATATTTAATTTATATAAATGAAATATATTTATTTAATTAATATTTGTGCTAGCACGAAGTCACAAGCCATCGTGACCGAGTCTTTGAACGTACTGTGCTTGCTCAGACTCTTGATCACGACAGATAATACAATCTCTTCCAGAAAATGTAATTAAGGTCCTCTCAGCATAGTTCTAATATAAACCACAGGTGGGCGGCATGGACGTTGAACAAACAGAAATATCCCTAAATACCATAGTAGAAATAGCGCCATGCATAGGGACGGCAACCCATTATTACACACACACACACACACACATACTTAAAAATATCTGTTTTTAAAGCCAAAATTGCTGTTTTAGGTAAAAATTATTATTATTATTTATATTTATTTTTAAATTTTTGGAAAAAATGGGGGTTTTTATTGTTAAATTTAAAGCTGGTTATTTGTTTGTTTTTGGTGACTGTGTAATAAGTAGGCATTTCTACATACATATGTATGTAGAAAGTGTTGTGCTGTTCGAATATTTCCTGTTGTTGATTATACATATGCCAGCAAAAAGACAAAAACATCACACCAACAATAAGTTGGGAAATATTGAAAAAAGCCCCTGCCTACAACAACATTACGAAAAAATGCCTACTTTGCCTACACGAAAAAGTAGCAATAATATCACACAAACCGCGAAAGAACTTGCTAAACAAAAAATCAGAGATAATCTCCAAATGAGAACAAGTACCTATTATCCGAATTCATAACAAACGGATAAAACAGACAAACCACCAACAATCACAATTTAATTTCAAGATACCATCAAAATAATTGCAACTATCATTATTATAATTGCACCACCATTAGTAATCACTTTTGCCACTTTACAATATCTATTAACTATCAATATTATCATTACCACCAACACACAGCACCATCACTTACACATCACACCCACTATTAACATATAATCCACTACAATCTTTATTACTCCCCCAGCATATTTAATACCTTAAAACAATATGATCAGATATAATTTCCATATGTAACCATGAGAACAAACACCTATTACCAGGCAGCTTTAATATAATAACAATAATAATTTTCTAATTAAAAATAAAAAATTATAGCAATCTTCAACTACCATAATTTTACACAGAATACCTATTATCAGGATTTATACCAAAATAAATGAATACATATAACAAAATAAAACAAAAATAAAATAAAACACCAACAACCACTTTTTAGTTCAAGCTAACACCACTATAACTACATTCATGGTTTTATCATTCTCCCACCACCGTTACTAATCATTTCTACCAATTTGCAATTTCTTCCAATTTACAATAACTATTAGCTAAATATCATTGTCTCCAATCCCTTGAAACATTACTATCACATCATATCATATAGACCCGTTATTAAATTGAACCACCCTCTCACCCAGTATATTAAACATCACCATATAAATTAAACAATAAGGATTACAAATTTTACCTGTTACATATACACAGTCACAAAAAAACAAGCAAATAACCAGCTTTAAATTTAACAAAATAACCCCATTTTTTTTCAAAAATTTAAAATAAATATAAATAATAATAATAATTTTTACCTATCATAATTTTACACAAACCCCACCACACATATATACATACATGCGAGAAAATATTTTTCAGCGAAAAAAAAAAAAAAAAAATACATAATATGACATGTATACAGTCACGAGACACTAACGTGACATTTCCGCCACACTTCCAATGTTTAAATTTCAACATTTCAGCATACAAATGCGTATGTATAGATATAACACCACCCGTATACATACATGTGTCATAGCCGAAACTGCCCACATACGTTTATATATGTATGAGTCCCGACGGACGACCAAGTATGTATATGTGTCTGCATATATCGATGTTTGCGTTAGTACGATGAATGACAAAACGACGAAATTTCCCCCACCACTTCTACAATAACACCAATACACGCAATCTACATAAACCCAAATTTTTTAAAACATTAATCAGTTTGTCTGACGATCGCTAAAGCGTGAAACCCAGGGTCACAAACTCACATCTATCCAACCAAATATGTTAGCTCTATCTCTGATATTGAGCGCTTTCTAATAAGTAGCGCGCATATAATATATAAATAATTATACATATATATATTTATTTATATTTATAATTTTCACACACACATATATATATATATGTGTGTGTGTGTGTGTGTGTGTGTATGTGTAAAGAAAAATTATTATATGTATATGTATATATGTGTTTATTTGTGTGTATGTATGTATATGCATATATATATATGTATGTATGTGTGTATATGTATGTATGTGTGTGTATATATATATGCGTATGTATATATATATATATATATATATATATATATATATATATATATATATATATATATAAAATAAAAAGAAAAACAGTAAGATATAAAATCCGGTGTTCTTATAGATATTTTATTTTTACAAAATAGTGCTCAATGTAAATTTACAGAGCATTAATATTATAAATTAATTGATTTAAAATATGGTTATTTTCGCTACACAGTTCCAACCATGTTTCAAAAATAGAAGCTAAAAACCCCTAATTTTATTTTTGCAAATAAATTAAAAGCATTAGTTCTATTTCATCTTCAAGCGAATTTTGGAGTAACTTTTAAAATTTACCGGGTTTTAAATACACAGCTAAAATCACGTTTCCATGGTTACAGAATATTCTACTCAAATTGAACACGGGGTGTCTAGATTTTCCTTATGACAGTATCATTGTATCAGTTATTAGCTACATTTTGGTAAGGGGTAGGGATGTATTTTACAATGAAACCTGACGTCGGTTGAATGGATGTCGTCTGAATTTAAAAAAAAAAAAAAAAAAAAAATTGTTAACGGTAAAAAATTTTCAACGTCATCTTTTAAAATTAAAGATTTTTTTTACAATACTTTTTATTTAACTACGATTTGAAATATTTTCCTTTTTAATTTTTATTTTACTATATTCTTTTTAAGAACAGTTAAATGTATTAGAATCCATTATATTATGTAGGATTATTTTAACATTAAGTTTAAGTATGTATATGAGGTTACATTTTTTTTTTTTTTTTTTTGTATATGACTATGACAGCAGAAATGGTTACTTAATTTCACTGATTCAGTAAACTTTTCTTTTATATATAAACCTATTATTATAATATTTCACATGTAAGTACTGAGGACATGGGTCATTCAAAAGCTTACATGTTATGGTATTTCATATTAATTTTATTTTACTATAGGTGTTATTTTTGGATTCTTTTTTAATGCGTGTAGTATTATTTTAAAAGAAATTTAGGTTAGAATTCATTCAATTTAACTACAATTTTAATTACAAATTCAAAATTACAACTTTAAAATTTTAAAATATTTTCATTGTTTAGTTTTAATAGACTATATTACTTTATAACAGAAGGAAAATTACTCATATTAAGTAAGATTATTTTTCCATATCAAAGTATATGTTTATTTATTTATTTTTTTTTTTTTTTTTTTTTTTTTCCTTTTCTTCTCTTTAAATTTAAATATTATTTAAGTAATATTAATGGCACTTACTACAAAACTAGCTAAGTCATTTCTCAGATTTAGTAAACTTTATTTATTTATTAATTAATTAATTTATTTATTTCAAATATATGTAACCTAATTAATAAAGTTTCATATGTATGTATAAATAACATGTTAGAATTCATTTTATTTTACTACAATTTTAATTTCAATTTTAAAATTTTAAAATTATAACTTTTAAAATTTTAAAATATTTTCATTGTTATTTTTAATTTAGACTATATTACTTTATAACAGAAGGATAATTACTCATAGTAAGTAAAAAATTTTTTCCTATCAAAGTATATGTAAATTACAATTTTTAAACTTTTAATTTAGATATTATTTAAGTAATATTAATGGCCCAGACTACAAAACTATCTAAGTCATTTCTCAGAATTAGTAAACTTTATGTATTAATTCAAGTTTAAGTATGTATATGAGGTTACATTTTTTTTTTTTTTTTTTTTTTTATATATATATAAACCTAGTGATATAATGTTTCTCATGTAAGTACAAAGGACATGGGTCATTCAAAAGCTTACATCTTATGGCATTTCATATTAATTTTATTTTACTATATTTGCTTTTTGGGATTCTTTTTAGTGCGTGTAGTATTATTTAAAAGAAACTTAGGTTAGAATTCATTCAATTTAACTTTAATTTTAGTTTCAATTTTAAAATTACAAACTTTAAACTTTTGAAATATTTTCATTGTTAGTTATATTAGACTATATTACTTTATAACAGAAGGAATATTACTCATAGTAAGTAAAATTATTTTTCAATATCCAAGTATATGTAAATTACAATTTTTAAACCTTTATATTTTAAAATATTATTTTAGTAATATTAATGGAACTTACTACAAAATTAGCCAAGTCATTTCTCGGATTTAGTAAACTTTATTTATTACTTAATTTATTTATTTATTTTAAATATATGTAACCTAAGTAGTAAAGTTTCATATGTATGTACCAAGAACAGGTTAGAATTCATTTTATTTAACTACAATTTTAATTACAATTTTAAAATTACCACATTAAAATTTTAAAATATTTTCATTGTTAGTTTTAATTGACTATATTACTTTATAACAGAAGGATAATTACTCATAGTAAGTATAATTATTTTCCATAACAAAGTATATGTAAATTACAATTTTTAAACTATTATATTTAAATATTTAAGTAATATAAATGGCACAGACTACAAAACTATCTAAGTCATTTCTCAGATTTAGTAAACTTTATGTATTAATTAATTAAATTATTTATTTTAAATATATGTAACCTGAGTAATAAAGTTTCATATGTATGTACAAAAGAACAATGGGTCATACATTACCTTACATCATCTAGCTTTAGTTATAATTTCATTTTTCAGGAGGTGTTTTATCGGATTCATTCAAGTGTTTGTA